GAGAAACTCACCGGGCGGGGACCGCGCCCCGCTCTCTGCCCCGACCCTCCGCCCGCCCGCCCCGCGGTCCCACCAGGCTGGGCTCCGGCGGGCTCGGCGGCGTGGCCCCAGACACCGAGGTGGGTGTGCGACCAATCGTGCGTCCCTGGAGGCTGAAGGTGGAAGGGGTTAAAGGCTCAGTCCAACGGTACAGTTAACACCTGTTTGACCCATTGTGTTTCGTTAATGCCAGGGCCCTCCTTTCCTTTCCCACAGCTAAGCCTGCCCCTCGCACCCTCTCTGGGCTCTCGCGCACCTGGGCAGCCGTGGGTCTTCAGGGCTTTCTTTGCAGGGTGACTTGCGGCGGGGGTATGTGTCAAGGGGGCCTGGGAGTTTCCTCAGGCCAGAGATTGCAGGGGCTCTTTCGTTTGCCCCCACCCCTCTTCAAGGGGCCTAAGTTAGAAACCTACCTGTTTTGTGTATTAAAACAACAACCAAAAACTTGTGTTGACAATACAACTACAATTAATAAATACAATTACAGATACAATTAATCCATCGATCCATTTAGTTTCTACGTGTACAAGTCAGTGATATCATTCCTAGTCTTTGGATTGTGTAACCATTGCCCACCCGCCTTTTCTGAGTTCTTGTCCTTGAATAAAGTCACTGACCCTGTAAGGTTGAAACTTTTTCGTTTTGTGCGTTTTAAATAAGTCACTCCTACCTAGGACTTCCCCCGAGAAACCTAATCATCTCAGGTTTTTCTCACAAGGAAACTCTTCTTCCTTAGAGCCTATATGGCAAGAAGTACGGAGATGGTTTATTGAGGATCCACGAAGCTGTTCCGGCCTCGTAGAACAGGGCACACGCCCTGAGTCCTGTCTTCTTTCCCAGGCATCAAGGGTGAGGGGGACCCTTGAAGGAGACCTCTACCTCACAGGCTAGGAAGGTTCCGCTGGCTCACTGGATGGGAGAGTTTTAGCCCATTAAGTCCGGGCCTTGCAGGGCAGTGGTATATCAAAGGTGAAATTCTCCATGTGGGGACCCTCAGGTACAGTAACAAGTCTGGGCTTTAGAGGTCAACTAAATCCAAAGAAGGCTTGAGTCTCAAATTCAAAAGGGTGCAGCTGAAATTAGGACCCAGTCCACAGCTCTTCTTGGCCTCTGTAGAGAATACCTGCCAGGTGCTACCTGCTCTCAGGGAACAAGATTAGCTGAGAAGGCAAGGGTCTTTAACAAAACAGTATATTTTGGTGGGAGAGAAGGGTTTTAGATCAATTGAAGCAGGCAGCCAATATGTTCAAAGACATTGGCTAAGATAGAAGGAGGCAACCCTGAAATCCCCAGAATGATATGGAAAGAGATTTCTTAAGATTCTCTAGTCATATAAATAACCATAAACATGGATTAGCTTCCTCTGCCCCGCCCCCCCCCCCCACGTGATATAAAGCCAGGCCTTCCCTTTTGTCCACTCTGAATCCACCTACTGGATAAATTCAAAATTTGCTCATCTGGCTCTGTATGGCTTATTAGCTGGGTTTATCTACTGTCGGGTTAAAGGGGGATATAAGGTCACTGAGTTGGCGTCTACTCTATGGCTGTGAGTTGTTTTCTGTTTTGTTTTAAGAAAACACTAGCTGAGATCATTGAACTCCGGAGAGCACCTGACCAACTTCCTCGCCCACGCGTTCATCAGGCCTATGCCACAAGGTAAAGTGGATTGATTTTCCTTTTCCTATCTGTGGTTCAGACTGAAAATGATCAGTGAAATGGTGCTAACACAGGCAAGCCAATGCCACAAGGTAAAGTGGATTGATTTTTCTTTTCCTATCTGTGGTTCAGACTGAAAATGATCAGTGAAATGGTGCTAACACAGGCAAGCCAAAGGCCTTAGGGAGCCCAGGTAATTTCCCAAAGTGGGGAATCGGCTGGGTTGGAGTAAATGAGCGCTGACTGAAAGGATAGTCTCTGGGAGAAACTTCTTTCCCGGCCTGCCACCCTCTGGGTTGCTGCATCGCACATTCAGGGCCAGGAAGAAGGATGAGGCGCCCCCTCCTTCTGCTCTTGAGTGGCACTGTGTGTACATTTCTATCTTTATAGGCTATTTAACATCATCTAAGTCAGCACATTCACACGCTACCTCCTGAAACAGTTCAACATCAACCATTCTTTTCCATACAGAGGCCCTGTATTCTTTCCATCTTCTTTTGATGCTTCCTACATGGTTCAATATTTTACCCACAGAATCTTTCAACATTGTAATTCAAGGTCCAATTTTTTTCTTCTGTTTTGTTGGGGGTTTTTTGAGAAATGCTGTGTGTTTTTCCTTTTGGCTTTCTAACTCCAGGTTTTTAATTTTCCCTTTGGACTCTTTTGCTCAGCTTTTATGTCATCATTTCTTCCTTCTATGTTAGCTAGTACGGTATGCTAAAGAGCCCGTTTCAGAGCCTCTTTTGATGTGCATTTTGTCTTTTCTTCCTTTCTGGTCTTTAGAATGGTCTTTTGGTTTCTTCATTGTGGTAGTTACATAATCTGTTGTCAATTTGAGACTTAAGAGTGAAGGGGTGGTGTTTAGCCTGTCAATCGGGTCACAGCTTGATGACCTCATTTGGAGGCACAACAGAGATAAATAGCTTGTTGGAGTCAGAACATGTACTCACTCCCTGTGAGACATTTCCATTGACAAGACACATGGAGCTACACTAGGTCCCTGGAGCTGAAGGAGCCACGTGGAGACCCATGCCAGTGCTGAGATGCTTCCACTGCCACTGGATCCACAAGACTTTCTACCCACTGGCCTGTGAACTTCCTGAATTTGGCATCATTGCATGTGTTTCGTGAGTTTGAAGAGGAATTTATAGGTTGATATCAGACATATGGACTAATATTGGACTATGGACTTGATCTGGACTGGGCTGGGCTGTCTTCTCAATATTCAATTGCTCTTGTACGTAAAGCTCTTTCTTATATATGTATGAGTGTCTCTGAATTTGTTTCTCTAGTCATCCCAGACTAACACACCCTCAATGAAATAGATTGACAGAGTTGCTATAAAATTTGGATAAAAAAAATTGGCTCAAACATAGGAATGACTGTGAGGATGACACAGGACGAGGCAGTGTTTTGTTCTGTTGTACATAGGGTTGGTATGAGTCAAAATTAACTTTCATTTGTATATTTAAGATGAAAGCCAAGATAGATAACCCTTCAAAAACAGTAACAGGAGTAATGGTTCCCTGGGGGGTACAGGAAGAGAGGTGGGGGAGGAGGGAATAGGGAGCTGATCGCATTGATGACTGCAACCCTACTCAGACAACGGAATTGTCTGTGAATGGATAGATTGGATTGTGTAAGACATGGCAACAAAAAAAAACCCAACCCCCCAAAACCATTATAGGGGGGGAAATGTTCCTGGTTGGAAGGGTGGGGGAGGGAAGGGATAAAGGGGAGCTGATATCAAGGAGTTAAAGAAGAAAGAAAACGTTTTTGAAACTGTGGTAGCAGTTGTACAATACAGCTTGATGTGATTGAACTATGCAATGTTATGATATCTGTAACAGCTCTCAATAAAATGATTAATTAAAATAAACAAGTAAAGATAAAAATTAATTGGACAGCAGCACATAACAACAACAAGCTAGCAAATCTTAATGAAGCCCCTTTGTGTAACTAGCTTGATACTAAAGGATAACAGAACAAAATGCTGCATAGATCTGCATCATTCTCATGATCACTGGCATGTTTGTGTTCATGCTATTACATCAGTCCAGCTTACCGAGGGTGTCCGATATCCTTGTTAGCCCTCAGTTTCACCAAATATGATGTCCTCTCCAGAGACTGATCCCTCCTGAAACAAAATGAGTGAGTCAGACAGTGTTCTGTTATGATCTATAAGGTTTCCATTGGCTGGTTTCCAGAAGTAGGTCACCAGGCCTTTCTTCTTACTCTTAGGCTGGAAGCTCTACTGAAACCTGTCCAACCTGGGTGGCCCTGTTGGTATTGGAAATATCAGTGTCATGGCTTCCGGTATCACAGCAACAAAACGGACAGATGGGTGGTGGGATATCTTGTTGGAGGAGGAAAATGTGCAGATGAGAAACAATGAGAAACCACCACCTTATATAACCAAGTACAAAACAGGGGAAAATGGCATGCCCTGTAGAGAGATGGGCTGTAACATGAGCTTAAAGCTTGGTATTTATATATAGACAGGTGTATCTGAGACAATTTTTAATTTTGATCAGACTCTAAAAAGGAGAACCTCAGAATGCAAAGGAAACTGTGCCAAAGTGTTATTTTGGTGGAAGAATAACTAGTTCTGGTTTGTCACTTGCTTAACTATTGCTTTTGCAATTTGTTGGTTTTTTTTTCCCCCTTTGGGTATCAATTTCATCTGTGAAAAAATTGTTTTGCCATCCTCATAAAATGATTATGAAGATTATAAAATAAATGTAAGAAATCCTTTGTTTTTTAATATGGAGTAGCTCAATGGAGGTTATTCAAATTGAGTACCTAGGACAGTCCAGCTACTGTATATATTCTATTTAATTCTCATAACAGTTTTCCGCTGGATGTGTTTTTATGCCTACTTTGATAGATGAGGAGACAGAAACTTAGGCAATTTTCTTGATTTGCCCTCAGATCACTCATCTAGCAAGTGGCAGAGCAAGGACTCGGAGCTATATCTGTTTGGGCAAAGCACATATTCTTTTCACTCACTATGGTTCTCCACATCAGCTGGGTTACTCTTGGCAAAAAATAGCCAGATTAACAACCAATTAATTAATTAGTTTTTAATTAACATTTTTGGATAGAATATACCAAAGTTCTTTTAACTGATTAATAGGTGAACCAAAGAAAGAGAGATTGAAGAGCTGTTAGGAGAATCTCAGAGAAACAAGAGTGCACCTATTCAGTTGAGAAAGGAACATGCAAGTTCACCAAATTATAATACACCAAATTCTCTCTCTACAAACTAATTAATGCGTCTGCAGAAACTTCTTTAGCTGGTGGTCATCATTTAGCTCATCCTTCTAACCACGAGAGGATTGCTGTGAGTTGGAAGCAGTGGTAGTGAATAAGTGAGTGATACAGAGGCGGCATGGGTTAACTACCAGTTCTTAGCAAAAGTAACTGGGTGTGCCTCTGTGTCTGCCCTGGTCTTTATTTATAAAAAGTCAGAGTGATTAGGGTCCCATGGTGACAGGTTGGGCTGCAATCGGCATGGTCAGCAGATTGAAACCACCTGTCGCTCTTTGGGAGAAAGATGAGGCTTGCTTAGTCTCACAAAGAGTCTCAGAAACCCACAAGGTCAGTTTTAGCCTGTCCTACAGGGTTGCTATGAGTCAGAATGCACTCAATGGCGGTCAGGCTTGGGATTGAATTTATCCCATGACACAACTTTCAGACAAATGATAGGTCTATAAGGTGAACAGTGACACCAGGGAGGTATGAACACCTCAGGACAAGCAACCACGTGAGATTCCCCAGGGCAGCATGTGCTCAGGAATAAATGTCCGAAGGTAGGAAGCGATAGAAAGAAGGATGAATGGAGGTGATCGGAGAGGAAGAGGGAAGACCGCTGTCTCACTGTGGGGATGATGATCGCTGTCACAAACCCCTGATGCGTATGGATTGTTGGATGGGAAGTCCACATTGCTCTCTAAACTTTCAACCACATCACACACACACATGAAAAATCCACATCAGTTAGGGTTGGATCCCTCCTACCACGGTCTGGTCTCATTTATATAACAAAAGCAACCGCCTATTTCCAAACAGGATCACATTCACAGGTGACTCAGCACGACTTTATTGTTGGCGTGTTAGGTGCCATCAATTCGATTCGACTCTCAGCAACCTACACCCAGCAGAACAAAACTCTGCGCCATCCTGCGCCAGTCCTTACAATTGTGACGTTTGAGCTTCAGCCACGGACTCAACTCATCTCGAGGGCCTCCTCTTCAGGCTGCCCCTCGACTTTACCTAGAACGATCCACTTTACTTCGGGGATCACATACTTTAGGGCAACACAGTAGAATCCAAAACAAGCAATAAACAGGATAGAGCTCGGGTACTTCTAGTGAAAAGCCAGGTACGACTACTATATTAGCCAGTTTCTTTTTGTTGGTTTAGGACTGGGGTTCAACCACAGGTATGTCAGAAGCCACACACTAGGCACCCCGCAGTGAAGTCGTTAGAACACACAAAGACACAAGGGAGTGTGCAAACCAAGTATAAGAGGCTCATGTGAATCAGAAAAGTCACAGGAGAGCTCTCTGTGGTACACCAGGATGTTCTAAAGCTATACTTTGGGGACTGGGGAGAGGGGTGGGCAGAAAGAAGTAGGAAACACCAAGATGTTCTAAAGATATACTTTGGGGACTGGGGAGAGGGGTGGGCAGAAAGAGGTAGGAAACACCCAGCAGTTCTGATTCGGTTCATGCATTAAGTGTGTCACTCACTCCCTGCCATTGAGTTGATGCCCACTCACAGTGACCCTACCGGACAAGGTAGCACTGCTCCTGTGCCTTTCCCAGACTGTAATTCATGACCCGTGTAGAAAACCCCATTTGGTTTAAGTGGAGAGAAAATGTTTTGAGAATGAAGTACAAATGCGCTTTACACAATTGATGTATGTATGGATTATGATAAGAGTTGTATGAGCCCCTAATAAAATGTTTTAAAAAAAAAAAGAAAAGAAAACCCCA